TGCAGGCTTCCCTCTTCATGCCTGGGTTTGTGTTGGGGGTTGAGGGTTGGGGTCTGGGCAATGGACTAAGGTCCTCACACTTGCCAGGTCAGCACTGTGCCAACTGGGCTGTCCCTTCAGCGTTCCTTTTTCCCTCTTTTGTTTAGTCTGGGATTCCAGTTCATGGGATGTTGCTGCCCACATTCAGGGCGAGTCTTTCTTCCTCCATTAAATCTCTCTGGAAATACCCTCCCAGACAGGCCCAGAGACGTGTCTCCTAGGTGCTTCCAAATCTAATCAAGCTGACAAGGAAGACGAGCTGTCTGCCCCTGTCTGTGGAAGGGCCTGCTTCCTGACTGTCACACACAAAGGACACAAGACAGCCACCATCCGCCACCCTCTGCTGTCTTGCTAGACAGAGCTGCCTGGGCCCCTCCCCATAAACCAGAAAACAAAGAATTAAAATGGCTACCACTTCATCCTGCCAGGTCTCTGGCAGTTTCCTCAAGACTTGGAAGGGGCAGATAGCATCGATGTGTTGGGGTACCCCTGCATCTTCCCAGAGATGTGCTGGGAAGGGGCCCCACCTCTGGGCCAGTCTGGACTAGTACACACAGGGACTGAGTCCTGGATTCCCATCATGTGAATGAGCTTGAAGGAGACCATTAATATTAGACATCTGGATGCCAGGGTTCCCTGTCCTAAGTTAACTTGGGATATGAACACAGAGACTCCGACCCGACCTTGAAGTAGAAGGGCTGAGGGGTTTGGGAGCCTAATGTGGGAGAAGAGGACTGGCCAGCATGCCCACCTGCCTGCCTACACTCTTCCTTGGGAGGATCTCCTGGAAGCTTATCCTTCCTTCCTCCTGACACAGCCCGAGTGAGCAGTGTCACTTGACCTCGGGGCACATTCCAGAATGAGGGCACAGCCAAGAATAGGACCCAGGAGCCCTGCCACCCTCCTGCCTGCATTACTCACACATTCCCTAGAGAGGAGGAGAAGGGAGCCCCAGGCTCCTTGGGGAGACGGGATAAGAAAAGGAGGTATACCGGAGTAGGGCTGAGAAGGGAAGACCCCAGAGGGACCCTTCTTGGCCCAATGGTAGTCACAAAATGCAGTGGCCCCACACGGCCCTCCTCCCAGATCCCGTGCTCATCCAGCGAACCCCCTTGTGAGCCCTGAGCAGGGCCCGCAGTGTTCCTGGAGCCCCTGGTCGTCATTGTCATTCCGATTTGGGTCAGCACCAGCCTAGAGGGAGGCCAGGCCTGGAGAAGAGGCTGAGGCAGCCTCGGGACAGCAGAGCCTTCTTCCCCCAAGGAGCTGCCTGCTGAAGGATGAGGCGGTAGAAAGCTAATGTCTGGCTCAGGAATCTAGGCCATGACTGCAGTTGCGTGGGATGGAAGCTCATCACGTGTCCGGGATGTAAACAGCTCTGGGGTGAGGTGCCTGCGAATGACTGGCTGGAGCCACACTCTGCGGAGGCATCGGGGTTCAAGATCGGACTCGTCACGGCCCACCCAGGCAGAACAGGGCACATGGGTGCCTGCGTGCGTGCGTGTGTGTGCGTGTGTATATTTCATACACCAGTAGAAACCGTGTAACACAACCATTCAGAGTTCTCAACAGCAGTACACAGCCCTTGGCTTTGCCATTTGGCAACTGTGTAGTCCTGGGAAAGTCTCTTGTGTGTGCACATGTACCTGTGTGTGCATGCAGGTGTGCTCGCCAGCACACGTGGAGGCCGGAGGTTGGTGTCAGGTGTCTGACTCTGTCACCCCCACCTTATTTTATTATTATTTATTTATGTATTCTTTTTTTTTTTTTTTTTGGTTTTTTGAGACAGGGTTTCTCTGTGTAGCTTTGCGCCTTTCCTGGAACTCACTTGGTAGCCCAGGCTGGCCTTGAACTCACAGAGATCCGCCTGCCTCTGCCTCCCGAGTACTGGGATTAAAGGCGTGTGCCACCACCGCCCGGCTGTATTCATTTTTTACATATTTATTTATTGTGTGTTTGTGGGGTGAGCATTGCCACAGTGTGTGTGTGTGTGTGTGTGTGTGTGTGTGTGTGTGTGTGTATACAACCTGTGGGAATAGATTCTTTCTGTCCACCATGTGGTACCTACGGATTGAACTCAGGCATGGCAGCAAACCCTTTTCCTCACCGAACCATCTCTCTCCCTCCACATTTTTGGAACAGGACTTCTCACTGGACCTGGTGCACACATTCGGCTAGCCTGGCTGTCTGGGCAAGCCCCCCCAAGTATCGCCCTGAATCCACCTCCCCAGCACAGGGATGACAGACTGTACCCAGATTTCTGCATGGGTTCTGGGGATCCAAACTCGGGTCTTCATGCTGTTACTGAGCCATCTCCCCAGTCCCTCTTTCTTTATTTTTCTCTTGTTTTACCTTTGCTTTTGAGCTGGAACTTTGCTATGGAGCCAAGTCTGGCCTTGAACTTGAAATCCTCCTGCCTCTGGCTCCCAAGTGCTGGATTTGTAGCCCTGTGCTCTGGCACACGGCTAAGTAAATTTCTCGTTACCCTTGCCTTATTTTTCCCAGCTACACAGTGGCATTGTGCCTCATGCCGTCTCCGTGTAGAGCACAGGAGAGGGTGCTTGATGCCGCAAAGTAAACTCTGTGGGCCTGGTGTTATCGTCACGGGGCAGTTGGCGATCACAGCCGAGGGAAACAGCCACGAGGCTATGTGTTACTACTTACTGTCCCCTTCCCCTAGTTGGTTTTTTGTGCTAGCACTTGGGTGGCTCTCTGGCGCCACTGTCCTGAGGGTGACATCAGACTAGGGAGCAGCTGGCCAGACAATGGAGCAGAGTGTCCCAGGAGGCTGGGGTTCAGGAAGAGGGAGGGAGGAGGGTAAACAAAGCCACAGTGCCTAGCTTAGGGGTGGTGGGGACAGTTGTGGTCTAGTGTCAGCCAAGCCTGAATAGATTGGAAGGGAAGAAAAGGTCTGGAGAGCAGGCTAGTGGTAAGGAGAGCCATCCAGCTTTGAGAAGGCGAGGAGTGAGCTCTGTCACAAACAGGGAAGCAGGACTGGCCTTGCTGCAGATGGCCCTGGGTTCTTTGCGTCCTGGAGCAGGATTGAGGCCATGTCTCTCACACTGAGCCAGGGGACCTTCACAGGTTGCCTGGTACCCCTGCCCTGGGAACTCAAGTCAGCCTGAGAAGCTGCTCACTGTCGGCCATTGCATAAGGCCAGGCCAGCAAAGATGAAAAGACACCACGCCATTTCAAGAAAGAAATCTATCTTACACGGCAGGTCAGAAATTGCCATAGTTTCTCCATCACCCATTCCCTCAGGACTCACAGCTTCTGAGCCCCGACTCAGGCCATGAGAGGGGTTCATTTCAGACGTCCTCTGTGAGAAACAGGAGCCGGCCAAGGCACAAGGCCCAGAACAATGAGAGGAGGTGTTAGGTCCTGCGGCCCATCCTTGGCCAGAAATCTTTACAGGGTAAAGGGGCCACTCCATGCCAGGCTGCGGTCTCACAAAGGTAGTTGGTTGAATCCCAGGTCTCCCTAAGTGCCATGACTAGCCAGGCATCATAGTCGAGCATGCCTGTAATCTCAGCGCTTGAGAGACTGAGACAGGAGAATCGTGAGTTTGAGACCCATCTGGACTACACAGCGAAGCTGAGGTGAGTTTGAGCTATACTGAGAGACTGTCTAAAACAAAACAAAACAAATCCAGGCCTGAGGAGACAGCTCAGTGCTAACGCGCTTGCCTCATAAGCATGAGCACCTGCGTTTGAGTCCCCCATAAAGCCAGCTGCAGGGTAGCACACACAACAACAACCAGAAACATGATGTTTTCCCTACGTGTGCTTACCACGCTGTGTGGCTAGGCATAAAGAGGTTCAGAGAGAGCAGCGGGGAGGTAGAGGCTGGATTCAGATCTTGGTGAGCCTGGTCTCATGGGCTAGGTGGTTTCTGCACTGTCAGCCCGGCACTGTGGGTGGATCCCCTGAACTTCCCTCTCCACGGGGGGGGGGGGGGGGGGGGGGGGGGGGGGGGCAGAACAGCAAACTGGATCTAACCGTGAAGTTTAGACTCCTGTTTGTATAAGTGAACTAAAGTGCCACGGAACAGCTGTGACTAGTGACTGGGCACTTGCCCCTTGGGCTCTGAGGCTATTTGTTGGACATTGCAGCCTTCAAGCAGGTTCAGCCAATGTCCTCAGGCCTCTAAGGACAGAGTAGGATGACAGTCCTTGCCCTCATTGGATACCTGGCCAGGTTGGGAAATGACCATGAGTCATGCCATCCTGATGGCTAAGTTTCTTGCTCAGTGTCCTTCAGTAACGGCGTGGAGGTCCCACCCCCTGCCCTCTCTTCTCTCAGGAAATAGAAGCTCCTTGCGCCCTCCTCAAGCCTGGGCTGGGCCTGGCCTGGATTCCTCCTTGGGGTATGGCCCTGACATCCCCAGGGAACTGCAAGAGAGAGGTGTCTCTTTTGAGGGCCAGTTAGGCTATGGGTTCCAGACACTTGACGGGGTCTGGGGAACAGCAGTAAGTCTGCCTGGAACCAAATGCACTGAATGCCAGTGTCAACACTGTCAGAACTCAGCAGGCCCCTGAAGACACTGGAGACCAGGCCTCAGCCGGAAGTCTAGAAGTCAGAGCTGAGCAGTGCCCTCCCCACGCCCCACCCCCACTCCCCGCTCTTGTCTCTCCCACCTTCTCCACAGTATCAGAGGCGGGATCTTGTCTACGGCCCTGATCCCCCACTGTCCCCACAGAGCACTTCAGACCGCACATCAGGGCCCTAGGCCTCTCTGCCTCTGACTATGGACAAGTCACGCTGCCTTTCTGAGTTAGTTCATAGACCTCTGCTGAGCACCACGGCTAAGGAGCCTCATATATCATAGGGGACCTGAAAATCTACCGTGTCCCTCCACTGCCCAAATTCGGTCCCACTGATGAGACTTCCCTGCTAAGAGGTTGCCAGAACCAATGATGCGATTACAGACCCTTCCTCGCCTTCCCAAAAGAGTCACACATGTAGAACAGTAGACACTATGAATTTTTATTTAGTATCATCCTCCTCCTATTTGAGGAAGACATTAGGGCATCCCACAATGCCTCCTTTGGAGGGATGTGGACAGAATGAAGGGCTGAAGAGAGAACAGGACAGGTGCAGGAATGATAGAGTGGTTCCAAATCCTCTACCCAGTGCCTGTGTGGCTGGGACCAGAAAAAAACAAGTGATCTCAGAGCTGCCATCTCCAAAAGGCCCCTCCCAGGCCCCACCTAGATGGCTCCTCCCTCCTGATCCATGCAGACACCCATACTCACCACCAGATGGCAGCATCAAGCAATATTCCTTCTCTCTGGGCCCGCCTCCACTCTGATTCCCCGGCCCCTCCCGCCTTTTGTCTACCTTACTTCTCTTGCTACCCAAACAGATCCTGGAGCTTCTCCAAGGAAGCCCATGGCATATGACAGCACACCATCCATCAGATGCAAGTGGCTGACTGCCGCCAGCCACTCACTGGCTCCTGGGGGAGCTTAGGATCAGGACGTTGTGTTTGGGCTCTGCTAGAGGAGCTCAGCCTTTCTCTATGGTCCTAGCACCTGGCACCCAGGAAGTGTCCACTGGGCCGAAATGAACAGAAGCAAACCAACAAACCAAGGCAGCCCAGGAGAGAAAACATGAATTTTTGCTGGTGGGGTGACCTCAGGGACACAAACTGACGCCACCAAAGGCAGCCGCCGTCCCTGCAACCTCCGTTAGAATCGGTTACATCCTGGATTGGACGGTCCTCTGGCTTCCCACTGCCCTTAATGAGAGGCAGTCTCTGCTTACGGTGGTGCAGGAGGCAGTGGGAAGGTTATCTTAAGCAATCCTTGGACTCTCTTATCTCTTCCCACACACCCCTTGTGCAAGCTAAACCATTTAACAAGGTAGATGCCATCTCTTTCTGACCCCTGGCTAGGAGACTGGGCAGAGGGACCTGGGTCAGCAAAGGGGGTGGGGTGGAACTACCTGAGGGGACCCCTCACGGGAAATAACTTACATGTGTCTTTTCTTCACCTTTTGCCAACTTCCTTCCCAGTTAAAAAAAGATATGAACCTTCTATTGAACCCAACGAATAGAGATCCTTTTCAGACCTATGATGGCTTTCTTCCCACATGTCAGCTGAGGTTTCCCCGTTGGCCGTGGCGGCCTAATCTGATCTCACCCAGTGGCTGACTGAGGGCAGGGGGTGGGTGGGTGGAGGAGGGTCAGGGTAGATGGCCAGCTTCAGCGCAAGCCCAGAAAGTCCTTGAGGACGTCACAGGTTTTCTTGTGCATGACCTCACGAAGCTTCCTGACCCGCCGTGTGCTCGACGCGCCCACGAAACTGTCAGGTCTCAGCATGGCCATGCCACCCTCCACCTCCCCCATGATGATGAGCGGTGTCTCGCTCACTGTCACATTGGGGCAAGGGCAGGCCCAGTCTACGTGAAGCAGAGTGACTTCCAGCGGCTCCCGGCCCAGAAACTTGAGGCCCATCTTCTCATCTTTTAGGACCTCATCCACAGTCACCAGGGCACGGCCTGAGTCAGGCTCCTCGGTCAGCTCGGAGACCCTGCCCAGGATGACGAAGTCACTTCGACAGAAGCTGGTGACTAGCTTCTGCCGAGGCTTGCAGGCCCGGCAGTGTTGGTTGCCCCTCGGGAACGGACACGACTCCTCGCAGGCCTCGCGGCTTTCAAAGTTGTTGCCGTTGCCCTCGCAGCCACCGTAGACGAAGGACTGGCAGAGGCCCGTCTGGCTGTTGTAGGCCCAGCGTGGCACGTAGGCTTTGCAGGGCCCCTGCAGGGCGGGCAGGCTGCACGTGGCCAGCGGCCCACTCATACAAGCCAGCATGCAGGCTTCATAGGTCTCAAAGTGGTTGAGATTGCGGTGGCAGTGGCCGAAGGTAAACGTGAGGCAGTTGTTAGCCTGGGCATCGAAGTGCCAGCGCGTCTGCTCCTCTCCACAGTCCTCACTGTCCGGGGGCTTTAGGCACTCAGTTACTGGGAAAGCCGTGCCGTTGAGACTGCTCTCTGAGGTGGCCCTTGCCTGACCCCCCCTGACCACTGACAACGGGAAGTCAGCCCTTAGGACTCCAGCAGCATTCTGAGCTGTGCAGGTGTATATGCCAGCATCTTGGGGCTGGGCATTGTAGATGACCAGCTGGGCAATGTTGGTGACCACCACGTTACCACGCACGTGGTTGGGCCTCATGACCACATTCTCTCTATCCTCCAGCTGTTTCTCCCAAGTGAGCTCGGGCCGGGGCCGGCCCACCACATCACAGAGGAAACTCACGGTCTCACCCACGGTGACTGATTGATGGACGGGATGGTTGAGCAGGGCCGGGGCTGCCATGTCCAGCCCCAGAGTCTCCGGAGAGGCCGTGGTAGGATGTGCAGTGGTCTCAGGCGGTGGAGGGCTGGTGTTGGGCCAGGTAAAGTGATAGCGGCAGGTGACCACAGCCAGGGAGATGCCCTTGGAGCAGGCCTCGGCGTCCATGTAGCAGCGGTTGTAATAGGTGAGGCCGTCAGAGGCACAAGTGAAGCTGGGCTCCTTCTCACAGCGATCTTTGCACTTGCACACGGGCTGTCCATCCCAGATGTCACACTCAGAGCCCTGCTGCAGACACATGAAGTGATCACACGTGGCCTCCTTGGGCATACCCACAGGGCCCTTCCTCCCTTTCACATCCATGTAGCGGGCTGCCACACAGCTCTTGGTCCCACACACATTGGGGCAGCACTTCTCATAGGTCTCACATTCCTGAAAGAGCCAGAGAGAGAGTTCTGAACAGAGGAAGCAAGAGCAGATTTCCACATCTCCCCCCAGAGGCTGTGACATGAGGACTTATATATGTGTTTCCACAAAGCACTTAATGTAGATAAGATCCCACGTAGACCCAGCACCTACTGTCTGTCAGGCTCCCGCCCATCTTCAGCTTACTACTTACTACCAAGACCAAGGGGGTACAACCACTGTTCCCAGTTGGTACATAATTTAAAGCACAGAGAGGTCAAACAACTCGCCCAAGATCACAGAGCTGGTAGTGTGGGAAGAGATGGGCCATAGACCTCCGAAAGGGGACATGTGCTCACTGCCATTTTCAAAATGAGATCGTAGAGAGGCAGAGATGACACTCAAGCCACAGAGGTGAGGAGTGGTAGAAAAGGGCTCCAGGCCTTTTGGTGGCCTAGATAAAGCAGCGTGAGGATGGCTTTTTCTCTTTTTTCCACCGAGGGGAGGATGTGTTGGCTAACTTGAAGAGTTAACATCTTGGACTCATGTTCAAGGCTAGTCACACCCCCTCTTTCCCCTGAAAGACCCCCAACACACACTGAACCCGGGATATCAGAGAACCCTGGTGACCAGAAAAGAAAAAAAAAAAAGTCCCCCTGTGTGGTATGAGCAAAGACTTGCTAGTCTGTAATCCTCTCTGACTTCTGTGGAGTCACGTAAGGCTTTGCTTTAATTCTTCAAAATTAGCACACGCCACCAGGGCCGACACAAACAACGGTTGGTTGCATGTGGTGCTTTGCACAATGTCACACCTTGTGGCTGGGCGGCTGGCTGGGCAGCTAATCCTCCACCAGGTAGTGGCTGTGTGAAGCAGTCCCCACCACACTGGCCCCTTGTCCTTCCCACTTTGATCCCAGTCTTTCTGACATTCCACATGAGCTAAGAGGGGGAAAGTCCTCCCCCCACCCGGCTGTGTGGAGCCGCAGCTTGACTGTTTCTCCCCCTTTTGGCTTAGAATAAGGACTTTGTTTTGAGGCCCTTGTTTGGCATAGGCTTCTGGGCCACAACAGGGGATGCTTGGAAATGGAGATGGGTCCTATCCAGAGCTGAGGTTCAAGGGAGAGAGAGCTTGAGAATGGAGGGTGGACGGGGACAGAGCAACCTGTGAACAGGAAAGCCTGTTCCTTGGCCTGAGCGCTATTCCATTCCAGTGTGGAATGTAGGCAGTTCCCCCAGGATCCAGAGGTCCAGGAGCGGCTGGACACTCAGAAACCAGAACCCTCGGGGCTCTGGTGAAGGGACCCTGGAGGAGATATTTAGAATACTTTCCCTTAAGGATTTACAATGTCCCCATGGGCTACCTGGCTCCTTAGCTGCACTCAGGTGCCTTCTCCAGACAGCATGCAAAGCCAGCCAGAGTTGCACGTCCCTAAGTGCCACCTGACCTCAGGCTAGCCAGTGTCAGTGAAAAAGATTCTCCAAAGGTAGTCATTGGATGGCATGAGCCCTATGGATGAGAGAATTGTCATCTTTCCTGTCCTGTTTCCTCAGCACCACCGCTGGGTACTGGAGTACCTGCCTTGAGAGGCCTGAGAATGGTCCCCAGGGGACATGAGGCAGAAGCCACTGTCTCCATGGAAACCCCACGCTTTCCCAGGGTGACCAGCGACTTCCAGCAGCACGGGAGCCTCCTGTGTTATTTAATGATGCCTAACCCAGACCCGAAGTCGGGGAGACTCTGGGCCACCCTCAGAGATGGCCAGGCAGGAAGTGGCCACACCCAGGGCAGCCATGGGTACTATGGTAAACCTAAGGACTTTTCTCCCAGCAGGACTGGATAAGGATGGCCCCTGGAAGAACCCACCTGGCAGCCAGGGAAGAACCATCTGGAATTGGCCCTTGCCGACCGACCGCAGCATCCAGGAGGGAGGGGCATATGGAAGCACTGAAGATCCCAACAGGTGGGAACTCAGTCCACTTTCCTCCCAGGACGCTTAGAGTATTTGCACAGATTAGCTCCCACTCAAACGGCCCAGCAGCCTCATCGCTGTGTGGCCGAGTCCAAACCTGGGAAAGGGCCTGGAAACCAGGTCTAACTAGCTGCGAACACGGCATCAGGCAGGCAGGCTTCCAAGCCAACCTGGCTATGGCATCACTCCTGTGCGTACCCATTCTCTCACCTGTGAGCGGGCCACTGAACATCTGGCAGGCTGTTGTGTTATCCCAATACATGCTATGTGCCCAGTGTGGTGCTGGCCCAACGCAGCCCTCCACCAACCCAAAGAGGAATGCTCCAGGATGGATTTGGGTACCACGCCCTCTTTCCAGGCCTCAGCTGTATAGAGGCAGGCACCAGGCCCTGTTTGTCTCTAGGTGAGCAGGGTCTGTGTTCCTTTACGGTCCTGGAGGCACATGTCATAGCTCCCACACCATCACAGACCCACTCACATGGTCCATCTTAGGCTTCAGGGGTCCCACTCACCTGGTCAGTTTCACACTCTCGCTTGCAGGTGCTCTGGGCATCCACCCAAAGGTTGGGGTTCATGTCGTTGGGGCAGATGCCCGCATGGGAATATCGGATGGGTGGCAGTGTTAGGCCTCGAAGGGGTGCCCCCAGGAGCAGCAGCAACAGCAGCCCCCAGTGGAACCAGAACCGATGACGACGCCCCGGGGCCCACATGGTGCGGTCTGCAGTGGCCAGAGGGCCTCCGTGTGACGATACCAAGGGCTGAGGCCCGCCAGGGCCCTTCTTCTCCAGGGCTGGCAATACCTGCCCTCTTCACCCCAGCAAGTCTCCTTGCTGAGGCTGCTTGCTGGCGTCGGCTGCTGTGGCTGCCTCCACCAAGCGCAGCCTGCTGAGCTGTGAGGCTTCAGATAAAAGAAAGGTCTTTGGTAGGAAACTCCGTCCCCGCCACCCCAACCCCGGGTGCTAGGGAGAGGAACACAGCAGGGGCTCGAGCCTGGATTTATATCCTGGGCGCACCACCCGAGTGGGAGCGAGCTAACCTGATGTCTGTCAGAGGCAGGCTGCTGGCGCCTCTGTCCCGTGGCTGATCACAGACGTATTGCAGAAAGGGGGAAAAGCTGGAAGCAGTTTAGGCAGCAGTCTCTGGCACGGTGGGACACCTGCTTGTTCTTGACTCCAGGAGGCCTTTAACCCCTTCCAGGGACAGAAATGGCATGTGCTTTGGGGGGGGGGGGGGAGCTGGCCCCAGGACACGCACGCTCACTGTGAGGCAGGTTTGTTTCCCTTTCCCCACCTCCTTGGGGCCGGGCCCCCTCCTCCCGTCAGCCACCTCTGAAGAACACACAATCGCTTGTTACGAGGAGGGACCTGAGCCGCTGTGTTAGCGTCGCCCAGCTCGATAGTACATTTGAGAGCAAATGACGTGGAAAAACAAGTTCACGGCCATTCAAGGGCGGGCCCAAGCAGCAGCCAGCGCTGTGCTGTGTAAGCCGACTCCCACCCCGGGCACCAGGTCCCCTTGTGGGGGGTATGCACACGGACAGCACCACATCCCTGTGTTACGGGTTACCGGCAGTCCACGTCTTAAGTTCCAACTTCGGTGAATTCCCCCAAAATCATTCCAGAGAGACATACCAGATATGGTCTGGCTCCCCCGGGCTGCTGGGTCGGATCACATTCCTCGCTCCTCTCTCTACACACACTTGTGGAGTCCAAGAAACTGGTGCAGCCCCAGTGTCCCAGGACTTCACTACCCCACCACCGAGCTGCCCTCACCGGTGGCCACAGTGGCCATTGCTTAGTGAGCCCTTGGGTGCCAGGCGCTCTGGACATGTGGCTCTACTTCCTTCACCACACAGAGTGAAAGGCTTCTGGTGGAATTTGTCCAGGGTCCTCGGAAGCACCAGTCACACCAATGCCTCCTTACACACTCCAGACTCTCTAAGGTATCGGTTCATCTGCAAACTGTGCATCCAGTCTGGATGTAAGCGAAGGATGCACAGTGAAGCTGAGCAACTCGCCCTGCATCACACAGCTCCACTAACACGGGAGGCAAGGGCAGCAGCTTGCGGGGGGTGGGGGTGGGGGGTGGGGGGGTGAGCAGGGCCTTTTAAAGCCACCCCTCCCCCATCCATCTGCCAGAACCGCTGTCAAGGTACAACCTAAAGTCTGGTTTTTGCAGAAGGGTCAAGAAGTTTTCGAAAACCAAGGGTTGTATTTGTGGAAGGCCTGAGAGAGAGCCATTAAGTGGCCAGGAGGTTTGAAACAGTTTCTATCCCAGGAGCTTGAGGGCATCTTGGTCATTACATGTTTGGAATGATGGGGAAAGTAAAACATGAAAAAAAGAGGTGCCTTTGTAAGGATAAGCCAACAAGAGTTGGGGGGTAGACTGAGCTGCAGTGGTAGAGAACGAGGAAGTGGCTAGAAGGGGGGTCCAAGGCCCTCCACTGCGCTCTTGATACACTTTAACAACCACGACTCCCGACTCCAGTGGACTGTAAAAAAAAATCACCTGCGAGATCATCCCCTCTAGATTCTCCCTCTCCCTAGCATCTCCTCCTCTGAGCCAATCCCTTCCCCTTGCATGGGTCTAAGCTCCGTCCTCTCTGCCAACGTCAAGGCGCTAGTGAAGGGTGTCAGGCCTTGATCTGCTAAGTTATCCGAACAAACCTCCCTCGGAGGAGGCCCGTTCCAGTAATGAAGGCGGACAGCAGGCGATGCGGCTGCTTGGAATTCCCTGTAATTTCATAAGCCGTGTTCCTGCTGCTCGAAGCAGGAGCCCCCACACAGCCCTGCCCTGGCTGTGGCTCGCCCAGCTTCCTGGGATACCACAAAAGGAAAGAGACGGCGACAGTTTCTAAGCAGCACTTAGAGGACGCGGTGTCGCAAGCCATTATGCCAGGACAAGCATCTGAAGGGAGGATGCTGGATGTCTGAGGGGTCTGCTGAGGCCATGAGAGGAATGGGAGAGACATTTGGCCCTGTTTTCAGGGTTGGTGGGAAAAGCCTCTCACCCATTTTTCACTGGTGACCCTCATTGCCGCCCCAGGAGACACCTGTTCAGGAGAGGAAGCTGAACAGGAAAGTCAGGCTGGGCCTGCCAAGTAGTCCCCCAGCCAGGGGAAGCCGGGCCCGAGCCCTCCCTTGCTGTGTGACCTACACCTGTATCCCTGCAAGGTTGCCAGCCCTGCTGAGGCCTCCCCGGCCACGGCCTCGGCCCTGAAGTTGTTTCTAAGCTATTCTGAAGTTCCTTCTTTAGCGCCCCACCACCCCCAAGCCTCTCTGTGACTCCCTCACACCCGAGGAGGAAGGAGGTTCCACTGTGCACCAAGCTCCTCACTGGGAATAGATGATGGGCTGAGCTGCTAGGCAGAGGCCTGGCCTCTGGGTGTCTCCTGGCTGTCGCTCTTTCCCAAGGATATGGGATGCCGCTTAGTTTCCCAACCCCTGAGTGTGAGGGGCGAGAGTGAGTGCTGGGTGGGCTCTGGTCCGCCTCAGAGAGCCCTCTCCACTGCTCTGCCCGCCCTTCGCACTCCTCAGGGTGAGCTCAGGACCTGCTCTTGGGTACTGCGGATGGCAGGAGGTCACCCTGACTCTGTCAGTGAACTCTGGGTGACCCGTGACCTCAGGTTCACCCTGAGTTTCCTGAGCAAGTGGGGTCTTGACAGGATGACACAGCTGACACTATTGCCCAAATTAGCCAGCCCCACCTCACCCAGCAGCAGCAGCAGCAGCGCACCACTGCAGGCGACCCAAAGCCCCCCGAGGAACCTCGCAGGCACCATGTTCATACACAAGTGGAGGCTCTTACCTCTCATCGTGTCTGCTCCCTCTTTTCCCCATCCCTTCTCTCTCCTCAAATGGTTCTTAAAGCACCTACTATGTGCTGGGTTCTGCACACACAGAAATCTACGACGGTACGTTCTGTTTGCACCAGAAACCAAGCGTGTCAAAACGATGATGATGATGATGATAAGCCCAGGGAATATGGGGTGGGGGTGGGGTGGTCCTCACCCCTGCTGAGGGGTAGGGCAGAAGGGGCTGGGCTTGGGGTTTATGCTCCAGGATGACATTGGGTAGGGCCTGAGACGGAGCAGCAGTCTACAGGAGGAAAGAAGGCAGTTTCCTACACCTCTCCCAGAGGCCTGGCCCACAGCGCTGGCCTCCTCAGCCAAGGCCCTCCCTTTGTGGGGCCCAGGCTCCAGGAAGGGGAGATGAGGGCAGCTCAGCAGGTTTAGGAGGGGTGGGGGTGGGAGCTGCCCCGCTCCTTTCAAAAGACAGCCCAAGCGAAGACAGACCAGCAGCTTACTCCGCTCCACCCTGCCTAGGCTCTAGGTAGGGAGGGTATCTACACTGTCCCACGTGGGAAACCAGTCTCAGGGAACCCCCCAGCCCCGTGTTTGGAAGGACTCGGGGAGCAGGCATGGGATACAGAGAAGACGCTGTCCTCCATGAGGTGTTCAGATGGACAGCCCAGGCCACCTCAGCGAAAGACTCATTACCCAGCTGGGGACCCCCTGCCAGAGCGGCCTCAGGCCTGGCTTACATTACAAGGCTACATGAGCTCTTCCCTCCAAGTGAGGCTGCACAGAGCCTTGGAATAATTACGGGGCCTCAGCAGATGGTGGAGGCGGATGGGGGAGGCCTTCAGCTGTGGGACACGTGACCCACCCGCATCTGTGTGGAACAGGACCTGGGAGTGTCCGGGCTGAGCTGATGGTGGTAGGGGGTTGGCACTGAGTCAAGATGAGGAATTATGGGCTTGGGAGGGGTGGGGCACGGTCCAGGGAGGCCTGGTGCTGTTGATAGAGTCCCTGGACACTGGAAGGATCAGTGTGTGTCCTGAAGCACGGAGGAGCACCCCAGGCACCCAGGGCTGGGTGGCCTTGAGAGCTTGCATGTCCTGGAGGGGTTTAGCTCAGGCCCCGCCCCTCTGCGGTTCTTGGGCCAGGCAATGTGCACAGAGTGGAGATCAGGGATCACTCAAGGGAGGACCACCTCTAGTTCCCCATCTGAGGCCCCTTCAGCTCCTGCCTCTGTGATCCATGTCCTGATTCCTCCAGATTTGCACTCATGGAATCGGCTTCAAAAAGCCCCGTGAAGCCCTCAGCCAAGACAAACAAGGGGCGGGCGGGCCTGAAGGTGTCTGCTCCTGACTCTTGTCTGCCTGAGGAAATAGAGTTCCAGCTTTCCCACGCCTCAGGGGTCAGGAAGGACACTGCATGAGGAGCCTGGCCTCCCTCCCATTTAGGCCCCCACCCACCCCTCTTAAGAGCTCCCCTGGACCATCATGGGGACCATGGTCCTCACTTCTGCCTTGTTCTTGCTTCTTGTTCATTGAGATGGCCTCAGGCCTGGGGGTTGGTTCCCTGACGCTCCAGGCTGTCCAGCAAAGGGGCTCACGTTCTCCAAAGCCATCTGTACCCCTGAAATGCATCTCATCATCAGTGCACCCTGCTTTCTGTGCACCTGGACGTGGACATGGTGTAGAGGAGGCCGAGCCAGGATGAGAAGCGGTTCTCCCCCCCCCCCCCCCCCCCCCCCCCCCCCCCCCCCCCCACTGACTACGGTTGCAAGATTCTGGATTAACAATAGTCCCTGCACGTTGAGGATGGAGACAGAAACATTCAGTGTGGACCACCAGGAACTATGTCTCAGTTTACACCGGCATAACCATTTTCTCCCTCACCCCCCCACCCCCACCCGCCGCTCTCCTCAATCAGCTCTTTCAAAGCATCACACAGCTCTTCCCCTCCAGCCTCGCATAAACCTTGTCCTCTGGCAGGGACCATTATCCCCTAGACAGCAGCTTTCTGGCCCATCTCAGAATCCATACCAGAAAGGAAGCTCTCCTAATCCCCGCACACCAGGAAAGCAACAGCCCGACTGTCGATGTCCGGTATAGTTTGTAAATAACAGCGCAAAGCCAAACAGAACGGCAGCTTACAAGGTCACCAGTTCGGTGGAGTTGGGTTGAAGGGCGGACCCTCAAAAGTGCCTCCAAATCCCAACCCCAGAACCTGGGAATGTAACCATATTTGGGGGAAAAGGTCTTTGCCGCCATTAAGGATCTTGAAATGAGATTATCCTGGGAGGAACCTACACCCGATGGCAAGCGTTTGCACAGGACACGGGAACACAGGAAGCAGGAGGGATAGGGCCACCAACTCGGGGAACCCACAGGCAAATGGAGAGGCCAAGAGTTGTCACCCAGAGCTTCAGAGGGAGCGAGGGCTGCAGACATTTTCATCTCGGCTCTCTGGCCGTTAGAACTGTGATGAGGCAGTCTCTGCGTCCTAAACTGCCAAGTATGTGGTGCATTGTTCCAACGGCCCACTAAACAAACACACCTGTCTGCAACTCTTCAAGGGCCTTTCTGGTGCTGGTTAAAAGGCACAGCAGGACCCGCCCTTTTCGGTCCCCCCAGCTTCTGCTCAGCAAATTGCTTCGCTGCAGAGTGTTCTCTCCTTTTTTTTTTTTTTTTTTTTTAAATAAACAGGTTTTTATTCCCCCCTCTGCTTTTATTCTCATCCAGCCAGGAGCCATAACTTCATTAATAACAGAAGGAACACAAACTTCACACCAAGCTTCAGCTGCCCTTTGGAAACACCAATAAATAACGAGGTCCTCGTTTTCAGGTGGCTCCGTCGCTCACATCAGCCCGGCACGCACGCACGTCATTTCTCCGCACACGGCCCGTTCTATGTCTTTAACTCTCGCTTCTGAACCGCCAACCCCTCCTCTCCTCTCTCCTCCTGTGCGGCTGGAGTCTGCGTGTTTTCTTGAATGTCTCAGACAGCTTCACCTTGAACTTGGAATTT